AAGTTCTACAAAATTTCAAAAGTAAAAATTCAGTCATTAATTAAGGGCTTCCGGGTTTTCTAGGTTTTTAGCCCGGAAGCCCGGCCCGGGTTGCATCTGAAAAACCCGGGCCCGGCCCGGGTCCAATTTTGAGTAAATTTTATAAAATATTCTGGCTTTTTGATCGATTCTGACTCCTTAAACATACAAAAATTCAAAAATTTTCGCCTGCGGCGCTGATAAAAGGTTTTATTCTTCATAGAACTATTCCTAAATCCTTCTAAATTGCCGATTTGGCTTTTAATTCTGCAGAATCCCACGATAATATTTAAACCACATTTATCCCGCAAAAGTGAATCCCCGATATCCACCTTAATCCTCCAAACCCACATTAACCCCACCAAATCCCCAGATTGGGAGCAGGCCAACCTACCGCTGCCCAACCCCGGAAATATTGTTCCAATGATTGAGGGAGTTGTCCAATCACGGTTTGGTCAGAAATTGACGAAGTTGACGTAAGTCAGAGCTTCGGAAGTATGGAAGTATGATGATATAGGAAAAGCCCTCGGAACTAGGACGTTCCAACAAAAGTGAAGGTTGTTCCATCAACATGGGAAATTGATAAACAAGAAGACCCTCCTCCCCAGATTAAATAATTATAGAGGGATAACGAAGATTTAGAGGTATATCGGGACGATCTAATACATGTAAATCCATATTAATCCCTCCAGATCCTGCCAAATTCAGCAATATTTCCCTTAATCCGTTAAATTCACATTAATATCTCTAAAGCCTTTTAAATAGATGAAAGATGACCCCAAATTTTAATAATTTCTTATTCAAAATAAGAAAATTTTCAGCGAAAAAGCTAAAATTTGATATTTTTTGATTTTTGAAAAAACCGGGTCCGGGCCCGGGTGTAAAAAAATCCGGTTTTTCCGGGCTTCCGGGTTTTCGAGGTTTTTAGCCCGGAAGCCCGGCCCGGGTCGGATTGGAAGAAAAAAACCCGGATACCGGGCCCGGCAAAGTGAAAAGTTCGAACTCTAATAAATATGCAACTCTAGAGCTAGATCCGTGACAAAAATGCTACAGAAACAAGAGAGGACCCTACAAATCTTCGGATATCCACCTTAAACCTTTAAATACAGGGTGCGGCATAAGTAATTGCACACTTGTTTTCTCTCATAACTTTATTAAAACACAATCAAATGAAATCGAAATACAATCAAATGATAGAGAATTAAATAAGGAACAATAATAATCAAGAAGATTCGAAATACCCACCCTTGGCTTTGATACAGAGGCAAAGGCGCGAAGAAAAATTTTCGCAAATAGTACGCACCTCTTTGAGGGTAATTAAGTCCCACTCTTGGGTGAGAGAGTGGCGCAGAGACTCCAAACTTTTATGAGGCATAGCACAGGTCCTGGACTCCAAAATAGACCAAAAAGAATAATCCATCGGGTTTGGATACGGGGAGCAGAGCGCAATTCCTGAGCTCTGATGAATCCAGGAAAATTGGCCTTGCACCAGTCCTTAACTTCTTTCGCCTTGTGTACCGGAGCAGAGTCCTGATGGAAAATCCAGACTATGCGACCAATATGGCTCTTGAAACGAGGCTTCAGAACACGTTGAAAAAATTCTCGCAAGTAATAGTCTTTGTTGAGTTTTACACCAAAATCCACGAAAATAAGGAGTTTTTTGACTGACGCGCAAGTACCGGCCCAAACCATGACAGATTGGAGATGTTGGCAATGAGTGATAGTCTTATCGGAAAGAGGAGATTCTGTAGTACAGATTCTGAAATTTTGATGGTTGTGTACGGCTTCTTTTGTAAAAATTTTTTAGTCAGAAAAGAGAATGTCCGGACATGCGTGCCACTGAAGGAGCAGTTTGCATCTTTCAAGCCTAATTTTTTTGGTTTTTTCGGTTAGAAGTTGTGCTTTTTGGATATTGTAGGGGTTTAACCCAAGTTCATTTTTGGCTATTTGTCTGACGGTCATCTCAATTATTCCGGTTTCACGAGCCAATTTTCTTACGGAGGGTCGATAATCGAGATGCACCCACATTTTGATCATTTTGATATTCTTGGAAGTGATTACGGAACGAGGTCTTCCACCTTTTTGTAAGTTCTTAGTTGTACCATCATTACTAAATTAATTTCAAAAAAATTTTCTCCCAAAAAATTTTCACCAGAATTTTTTGAAAGTGTATTGCACAGTGATTTTTGGGACATACAAATGAGGTGAAATTTTGCGGACAGAATTTTTTTGACAAAAAAGTGAGATTATAGAATCACGTTGACTAGCCATAATAGAGAATTGAATGAGCTACAAAATAAGCCTAAAACCGATTAAAAATATTAACAATAAAAAAAGTTATAAGAAATTTAAAAGTGTGCAATTACTTATGCCGCACCCTGTAGACAGATATGCGCTTTAATCCACCGATATCCTATTAAAATCCCGCTGTATATCAACTTTGGACCTCAGAATTCCAGCTTTGGAATATTTTGACCAGTGTTTTGTAAATCCTATTCCATGGAACTTTTCACCTTTTAATCTCCTGGTATCCCTCTTAAACTCAAATCCCTTTTCTGCACCACAGGCGAAAATTTTTTAAATTATATAAGGCCAGAAACTAAATTTGTTCCATTTTCTGCGCCGCAGGTGCAGAAATTTAGAGAATTTTGGAAGGGCTTAAGAGAAAAAATTCACTTGTAAGAGCCGAGACAAAATTTTTTGAAGTTTAGATGGTCATGAAGCCAGAACTCTTCAATTTATCAGCGCTCCATACCAATCTCGCTTAATACTCAACCCCCTGAAATCCCTGTTAATTTCTCCTTAATGCATCCATTAGATCAATTGGGGCATATTCAAAAAGTTTCAATTATGCCGGGCTCAATCGCGTGTGGACTCAACTGAACTCAGAAAAATGAATTTATTTTTGGCAAAATGTTTGAAAAAATTCAAAAATTTAACTAAAATCCCACAAAATTTCCTAAAAATTGTAGAAAAATTTCTTAAAAATTGCCGTCGTTAGGGGTGTATTTTTATTTCGTTTCGTCCGGAAATTTTGGCTATTTCGTTTCGAAACGAAACGAAATAAATTTTTTTCTGTTTCGTTTCGAAACGAAACGAAATTTCGCCCATCCCTGGTTCAAACCCTTTAAAGATTATCGAAAATTTAATAAATGCAACTTTCCCCCCTATGTTTTTATAAATAAATTTGTTTAAACACAACTTGCCCTTTCCCCTTATTAAATTGAGGTTAAGGTATTAAATCAATGGAATTAGGAGTAAACTACATAAATAAGTGACCATCCACATTTTTTCTCATTCTTTATTAAGTAAATGTTTTTTTTTATTTTTATTTTTGTAAACAAAAATAAAAATTTGAATAATTATTTATTAATTTTATTTATGTATTAACTCTTAAATTTTTAGAAATATATTCTAAATTCAATTTAATTAAGACCTTCTTAATGTCTGAAATGAAGACTGAATCCGTAAGAATTGAAATATCAATATAAAAATTTTTGATTTTTATAGTTGGGTAGACCTGAAGATGACAAAAGCCTTGACTTGGTTATTAAGTTAACAACTCAATTGGCCAAGAATTTGAAAGAAGCTGAGGAAACTAACAAGCTGTTGGTTGAGGCGCGTGAATATATTGAGAGCGTCTGTGGTGTTGGATCCAAATTGACTGGTGATTTTTTCTAATCTGTAAAATTTAGTTACCCTTTTAATTAGTATGTATGTCATAGTTTGAGGGGTTTTTTGTATTCCCGTGTTTTAAGGCGCTGAATCAACTTAAGTTTTTACTGAATCGTTTTATTAACAGTGACTTCGCTTAAGGATAGATATTTTTTGCTTTATTGGAAATTTCCAAAATTATTAACTTAAAAAATTATAATAAAATAATTTTGTTCTTTTAATTAAACAGCAAAGAGAGGTCTCAAGAGGAGCCATAGTCATTCTTCAACATCTCCAACAAAGAAGAAATATTGTTTCTTCTGCAACATTTACGTTATGAACGAGGATTATAATGCACATTTGGAAAGTGACAAACACATTGAACTTGTTAAGCTCAATAAGCTTACTCCACCTACTTCATCTTCAAAAATGGACAATTGAGAATGAAAGTTGTTAGTTTAATTAACTCTCAAAATTAATCTCAGATACAAGAAATATTTTTGACAAAAAAACTCATACTATTTGCTTTGCTTTCGCATTTTTGACAAAATACATAAAAATATTTAAACAATTTTTGAACCAAAATTTTACTTTAAATCAAAAATTTTTTTCGTTTTAATAACTATTCAGGGCTAAAAACTAAAATCACTTCTATAGATTTAAATACAAAATGTAAAAATTAAGTTTAAATATTTTTTATTCTTATTTATGCATTTATTTCAAAAATTTGTATATTTTATATTTATAAGCAGAAAGTGTAAATGTTGGGAAGGGAGGGAGTTATCTTTATTATTATTTATTTTACACTTTCTATTTGTGGATTTCTTGTATGTATAAGTCTTTCGAATGGATAAAAGCATTTATGATTGTAGAAGAGTTTAATAGATTTTTTTATTAGAAAAGTTAATTTGAATCGCTAAATTGTAGTTTTTATGTTGACTCTCAAAAGTTATCTCAGGTACAAGGAAAAAAATTACTTCGACTTTGGCTAGTAAATCCTTTAATTAAAGCATTATTCTTAAAACCTATCTATAGATACATTTATTTTTAAAATTATTTCTATTGGAAAAGGATTTAAGAAATTAGAACCTTTAAAATTATAAGTATTCTTAATAATTTTTCCCACAAAATTATTTAAATTATTATTTGTCAGCGTCATTACAAAAATTAATATTTATCAAATTATTCACAACCATTAAATTATAATCAACAATAATTGGTTAGGCAGTGATATTTTTAAAAGTTTAAAGAAATAAAAGGAAAATTAATATTAATAAAATATAAGTAGAATTGCAGAGGTAATAAATTATAAAGAAATTTTAGAAAATTTATAAATTTTTAATTTTATTGTCTACAGCTATAATTAATCCTTTAAAGCGGTCAGGTGAGCATTCTCCACAATATCCACCACAAAGTCCTTGAATTAGAGCATTATTCTTAAAATTGAAAAAAAATTTTTTAATTTACATAATTTCACTATTTACTTCAAAGCGTTCAATTCTAACACTTGTCCTATGCCCTTGATTGACCCATTCCAAGTCATGAACTATTCGAAGATCAGTGCCACGGAGATCTATTGAAAAACGACCCTAAAATTTCAAACAAAAATTGCTTATTCAAACAAAAGGAGTATTTACTTGTGGGCAATCACTCATTGAATAACAATCCCCAGCGGTGCCAAAAGCTACAGGACTACCGTATTCAGTTACAGCAAATGTATAGTCATTTGCTAGAAAAAAATTTTTTTTTAATTCAAATTAAAGAATTTTACGATTAATTTTCATATTGTGAAGGTCAATGCGAACTTTGTTATATCTCGTAAAACCTTGGCTGACATGGCCATCATTTGTACAAGCACAGCTATCGTTTCGAAGACCATTATGGGGGCAAGAATAGGGGTAGGCAAGTCTTTTTATTTTTAAATTATTTTAAAAATAATTTAAATATTCCCTCACCTTTTCCCATAAAATTCAGCAAAATTACTTTCGGGACGTAAATTTAAATAAGTTTTTGGAATGGTTTCATTCATTTGATGGCAATAAACGATAATTTTATAGCCATTAAGCATAACCTTTAAATACAGAAATTTTCGAGTTTTCAAAAATTATACTAAACACACAGTATAATTTCCATCATTTAATTGTTTTTCATTTCCGTCAATATTTATTTGTTTAGCCTGGTGATGGGCTTTTAATTCGGCACAGTCATTAGGCATACAATTTCGAATAAAACAGGGCTCTCTACGTTTGGGACGAGTTGTTAGATCACACCCACCTCCGTCTGGGGAATTTGTTGTTCTACCACCTTTTTTATCCAGACATCGAACTTTGCGGCGTTTAAAGCCTGGACCACAACTTTTTGAACACTAAAAATAATTTTAAAATTATAATATGGATTGTAATAGTGAATAAATGATTAAAATATGTATACCGTATTTTCTCGATTAATTCCCCTCCCTCAAAATAATTCCCCCTCTCGATTAATTCTCCATGCTAGAGTTGGGTTTAAACAAAAATTCCCCACCCCCAAATATCCTACTGCACGTTCAAATGCCAAAACTCGAATAATTCCTCAATCCTCGATTAGTTATCCGTGCCAAGGAAGGGTTTAAAAAATAATTCCCCAGGGGAATTAATCGAGAAAATACGGTATGTAAGGTATGTAAGGTTAACAAAAACTTAAAAATAACATCTAAATTTAATAATCTTCTTATAAATTTAAAATAATTTAAAAAATAATAATGAGACCAAAAATAATAATTAAAATAATTAAACTACACCTTAGACCAAGGGCCGGCATTCCAATGAAATCGAGCATTGCAAGAATTTATTTCACAATGCTGTGTAACCTTGGAAATTTATTTTAAAATTATTTATAGGGGAAGATTCAAAAATTTGTAATCCCCTATAATCTCTATTGCAATCCCCCGTATTCTGAATCCTCCCTCCTCCTTCCCGATTATTTATTTCGTAAAGTGTCTTAAGGTGTGTCTCTTAGTGTACATAGTAAATCGTGTCTTAAAGTGTGCCCAGGTTTCTATTGTCCAATTAGTAATCTGAAATTTTTATAGGAGATTCATAGGCATTATTTGTCATTAAATTATGACAAATTGTATCGTTATAGAGAGATTCGATTACAATTCTTATATTATTTATATTTTTAATACTAACAATCGGCTTATTTTCAAGTGCCATACACATACTAGAAAGTACAATTGGCTCAGATATTTCTTTGGCAGTGTCAGTATAGTCCTCATTTGTGTTAGAAATTGAAATAATATCTTTACGTAATCTACACTCGATTTGGCGAAATTGTTGCTAAATTTGGAAAAAATTTCTGTTAAAAAATAAAATAATCACCCCAATGTCACAAGAGCGAGAACATGAACTCCAAGGGCCGGCTACCCAGTAGTAAGGCTAATAATTAAATTAAATTGTTATTTTATAAAGAAAATTTTAATAAAAAAATTCTCCAATTGAGCGGCCCGGAGCACCTCAGTTCAGTCTGGATCAGACCAGTCCAAACTCTTTAAATCAACAAGAAATGGTCACCCCCCCCCTCTCTCCCTGAGCGGCCAGCTGTTCTAAATTTCAATCCCTTCTCAAAGTGCCGCTTTAATAAATACGGCCGTTTAATAGGAGACGACAGCTTATTTCGATCCCCTTTCTCAGGACTGATATTGGAAACGGCCGCTCAATTATGGAAAACATGGTGTTGTATATTTTTTAAATTAATTAATTAAATATATACGCATTTATCTGTTTGGCATTTTCGTGTTTCTATTGGTTTTACAGTGTTCGCACCGTTCTCGCACATTTCTGGAGAAGCTTTTTTGCCAATATCACTTTAATTCAAATTATTTTTATATATTTTTTAAAATTTACTTCACACAATATATACGCCGTCTTTGTTCACCGGGCTTACAAAGATCAAGACACTAGTAGAAATAAAAATAAAAAGCAAAATTTAAATCCAAGTACTTTTGACCAAGCTCCTATACGCCAAGAATATTGTGTACATTTTTTCAAATTACATTTTCTTATTTCTGGAGGCTTTGGTTCTGTTGAGATACACTCATTGTCGTTTAAAAGGTGCTCGTTTCTAACACCTTTTCTACATACAACTTCACGTTTAGCAAATCCAGGACCACACGAGGTTGAACACTAAAAATATTTGAAATTTCGGCAAATTTTCTAGCTTTACTAAAAATGAAAATTCATGACCATTTGATTTAAAGTTTATTTGAAAATTATGAGAGCAAACAATTTTATGGTGTTACTCATACTTCTGAGTACCAATTTGGCCCTAATTTTTTCTATTAGTAATTATTCTATAAATATGTATTAGGGTTGTGAAAGTTTCAGAGTTTCATTGAATTAAAAAATTTCTATGATTTTTTTCAAAAACGGGGTGTTTCATAATTATAAGAGCAAGATTTCAATCCTTTTTTTCTATGCTATATTTGTTCCAGAAATTCTACAAAAATATATAAGCTCGAAATTTAATCTCGATAACATGTTCGGTACGAGCACAGAAACTAATTATGAAATGTTCTTAGCATTATACTAAAAATATATTGAAAAGAATACCGTTCCCCATTCGCCTTTATGCCATTTGGGACAATGTGAATGCCGGCAAGGATGTTCCGTTTCTGGTCGTTCACTGACCAAACAACGTGAATGATCAATTTCTGCTTTAGTTAAGGGGTCTATACACCTGACTATTCTCGTACGTTTTGTTGAACCACAATTATTAGGGCACTGAAAAGTTAATTTTAACAATTTTAAGATTATTATTTAATTTTTAAAATTAAATATCTTGGTTAATTACAGTAAAAACTGTATTAATGTCCCTCCCTCAAATAATTACCCCGCCTGTATTAGCTACCCCCTCCAGCGAAAGGTTTAAACAATAATTATTCCCTTAAAAATAGTTATAATTCGCCTTTCTAAAATAACCTCTATTAATTACCCCGCCTCTATTTATTACCCCCTCCAGCGAGAGATCGTTACCCAGGATAGTTAATACAGTTTTTACGGTATACTTATTTGCTATAGTATACGGTAGAATGGAAATTAACTTTAATAATATTTTATTATTTAAGCAACTTAAATTTGTTATTTAAGCAAGTTTTAGTAGTTAAAGGAAATATAGAAAATTTAAATTTTATTTAAGCAAAAAGCTACAATAACAAAACAGAAAAACAAAGAAAACAAACGATAACAATAAAAATAAACAACTAAACAAACAAAAAATAAACAATAACAAAAAGTAAAAACGAGAAAAAAGGACAGTAAATGCGGGAAATTATTTAAAAATAAAAAATTATCCCAAAGAAAACAGAAAAAGGGATACAATTTGATCCCAACGTACCGCCGAGCTATAACTTCGTCTAAAATTTTCAAATCCGGGAAGTCCTGGTTGGCTTGATTAAGCCAGGGCCCATATCATAAGACCAGGGCCCGTATTATTCACCTAACCAGGCACCTAAGGGTCATAGTTAACCTTAGACCGTCTTATGATACCGATTAAAACAGCGGTTGGTGGTTACCTAACAAGCAACCGAGTTCTTATGACACGGGCCCAGGGCGTCCCAGATTCGAAAATTTGGACAAAGTTAAAGCTCGGCGGTACGTTGAGCTGTTTGATTCCCAGAAGAAATAAGCAAAATGTTAAAAGCAGATAAAATATTCCATCTCAAGGATTAGAATGATTTGTGGCAATAGATTTTTCCTTATGCCTTAAATGTTGACGAGTTCTGTTTCGACATTTCCCATGTCTACACCAAATATTTTTTCCATTATTATTTATTTTTAATCTTTCATCAATTTCTTTATTTTTACTAACCGCACTCCAAGGGCCGCTCTCCCAATGAGGTAGTTGAACAATTAAAGGGACAGAAACAGGTGATGAAGCAACTTTGACAGGATAGTCTTTATTTTTTGAATATGTTGGAGGATTCTCAGAAATTTTTGAAGAAATTCCAGTTGAGGAAAGTGAATTATTCTTTGTAATACATTCATTCATTCTCGAGCAAATTCTTTTCGAGTCAGGTCTCAAATCAGAATCACATTGATTATCATCGAGTTTTTGAAGCAAATTGGTCGCTGAATTGCACCAAACCAAACGTGTTTGCTCTCCTTGGCCACCGCAGCTGACGGAGCACTATTTAGATAGTACATATTTTAATTCAAAATTTAAATAGATATTCAATACACAATAGTGGGAAATTTCGATAGAGTTAAATAATTTAGCGAATTTTGCGTTTCGATGCGAATGAGTTTAAAAAAGAGGAAAATAGTGGTAAAAATAGTGATAAAGTAACAAAACTCACGGGAGACCAATGGCCAACATTCCATTGTCCAGAAAGGCATTTTTGTGTGTTACATGATTCTAATTTGATAGGCTTCTCAGATTCCAAACAATTTTTTAATGTTGTAACGTTGTCCACACTTTTACAATGGATATTACGTTGACGCCAACCACCTCCACAACTTGCAGAACACTATATAAAAATATTTAATAAATATCATAGAAAATTATATTATAGCTACCGATGACCATTCATCAGTTATCCATTTCCCAATATTTTTTTGTTGGTTGCCTAATAAAGAAATTGCGGCTGAAACATGCAGAAGGGCAGGAGGATTTGTGTATGATGTTTTAAAATCAGACTTAGGTGATTCACTTTTTGGGATATTAATACATGGAGGACAAGAGCGACGAGAATAAGGCTTTTCCAAATGTGAACAGAATTTATCTAGAAAATATAAAAAATAGAAATGTGTATTTCTAATATTTCTAACACCTTCAATAAGCTCTCCATTGTTTCGACACTCTATCAGTCGAATTTGTTCGACAATTTCATTATTGACATTACATGGTTTTGGAAGTGGACATTCAGACCATTGGCCAATCACCCATTCACCTTTAATTATTGGACAAGCTGGAAGTTCACAAATACGATCGGACTGAGGCTTTTGACCCTTATAGAATTAAATTTCAATAAAAAACAAAATTCCAAATATTTACAGTGCATTCGCGATCATGGAGAACAATATAATTATTTTCGTTGTTGTAATTACGGCTAGTTGTGTAACGAACACAATTAACAGTTCGATGTTGTGTACCGACAGAACCACATGATAATGAACACTAAATGATTATAATGAAGGTATTTCAGATAAAATTAACACACCGGCCCCCAAGATTCAACATTCCAAACGGCACATGACATTAATACACATATTTCTTCATGTGAGGGCCTGTTGACTTCTGTACAGAGCGAATCATCAACTATTTGATTGCGAAGAACACATTCTACCAGCCTTTTCTTTATTCCTTGTCCACAGCTAACAGAACATTTGTTCCAATCAGAAGTTCGCCTATTATGAGATAGAAAATAATTTTATAAGGGAAATGTTATTTTGGGGTTAATAAATAATTAACCAGTATGGGCAGGGTCCAGGGCTGCAGACTCTATGGCTTTGTGGACGTAGTTGTTGTTTCTGATTTTCAGATATTTTTGAATTAATGGAAGTTTGTTCGTTGATTTTTTGTTGGGTACACATAATATCTGGCAATTTCCTTCCAACCGAATCAACACATTGAACTAACCGGGTTTGAAATCCGTCAGAGCCACAGGTGATAGAACATTGACTGAGAAAAGAAAATTTTTGAATATTAAAAAAACATTTTTCAACCTCCAAGAGCCTAATTGCCAGTGAGGACAAGGTGCCAACTCGCATTGTTTAACAACTATTTTTTCACGAATATCACAATTTCTATCTTCAAGAGGTCGATTATTGGAGTCAACGCAATTAGCGTCTCTTCGTTGAATGCCTTGGCCACAACTGACCGAACATTGACTCCAGGCTCCAAAACGCCATTCAGTACAAAGTTGTTCGTTACACTTTTCGCTATCTAATTTATTGCTAGGGCATAAACGAGCATTTACTTCACGACCAGAAGCGTCCTGGCATGAAGCATGTCGTATTCTAATCCCACTACCACAAGATCGGGAACTTAAAAAAATTATTTAATTGCTTCTGAATATATTTCCAAGACAGAAATAGATACTACCATTCATTCCAGGCTTCATAAACCCATCGTGGACATGGTGTTCTATTACATTCTGTATGGAGTGTCTCATGAGGAATTCCCTCGCAGAAGCGATTCTCGACTTTCTGCCCATTCCGAGTATCAATACAATGAATAGAACGATGACGAATCCCGCCGGTACCACAAGATTCCGAGCACTAAAGTTTAATTTCGAATTTTCTAAAGTTAAACACACTCTATCATTACCACACTCCATTCAGTGTATGCCCAGCGTCGATCAGTCACATATTTATTAGGTGGCTGTTCATTAATTTGTTGCTGTTGAGGATGGTTCCTTGTACTAGGTGGTGTGGGAAGTGGAATTCCTGATCTTTTGCATTCATCTTCACTAGCTTGTTCCTCACGACCATTTGTATAAGACCGAACACATTGATGTTGATATCTACTCGAAATATTAACAAAATATCAAAAAAGTTTCTAATCACCTATCCTTCTCTCCTCTACCATTATAAGACAATAGACGATGTTGCCATTTATAAAAACATTCGACGTTGCAAATTCTTTGTCTTGGGTCAGGTCGTCGAGAAGTACCACACATAGAATCAGGCAACACTTTCATGGTGAGGGTGTCAAGACATTGTAAGAGCTGGGTTTGAGTGCCTTGACATTTGAGAGTGCACTAAATAAAATCCAATATCAAATCAAAGGTGGTAATTAATAAAAAATATCTAATGGATAATTAAACACACCTCACTCCACTTATTTTCAATAAATCGCCAATAAAATGTGTTTGGAGCCTTAGGCACTACTTGTTGCTGTTGTGATTTATGTTGTCTTTGTTGATGTTTTTGAGAGGATAAATTGTTTAATTCGTAGGTTTTTGCAGCTGCTGCTACCTCTCGCTGTAAAATGTGTTATAAAATAATAAATTTTAAGCTTAACGAAGCTTATTCCAAAATAAATTTCAAATATCCATTTGAAATTTTTGAGAAAAGAATTTTTGCTACCGAAATTATGAGGTACATATATTTCCTTACCATCGTAGTTAATTCGTGTATTTAATAAATAATATGCTTGTACTCACCGATATTTGAGGTAAAGGCTCCATATATCGGTAATGAATGTTTGGTAGTTTCAGATTACGGCCACTCAAAAAATGAAGATAAACATCAGTTCGCAATGGGCCTGTACCATTTATGCGTTCCTGAGGTGTGTCACTTCCAGAATACTTTAAATGATTTTATTAAGGAAATTAATGGGAATAAATATTAATAATTATTATTATTAATATATTATTATAATTATTATTAATATAATTAATATCAAAAATAATATTAAAGATTCCTTTATATATTTTATCATTCAAGATACCTCAAGAACAGTATCAAGTATTTGTATTTGTTGAGGGAATACCGATACATGAAATTGTCCATTCAAAAGCCAATCACCGTTTGGCATTCTTAAAGCCAAATAATTTTCGTCATCCTCCTTTCTTAGTTGATGCAAAGAATTTTGTGTAATATCAATATTTGCGGCTCCAGCAGGAATCCGTAAAACTTCGTTATAACCTAATATATAAAAATGTTAGTTCAGTATTTATCACTAAACCAAAAGTTCCTCGTTCATTGAAAACCCCTTTTACTTCACGGCAAGTTCTTCCATCCCCGCCACAAATCCCGCAAACATCCCGACGCATATCTGAACCAAGTCTATGGTCACAGCCACTCTATATAAATATTTTATTGAAAAACTAAAAAAATATTTTTCTCCACCTTATGACATCCACCATCAATACAAATATCGTCCACATTTCTATCACACGGAGTTCCATCAATTACTTTATCCCTTAATTTGTAAAACGCAGCAGAATCAGAAAGACGGCAATAAAGTAAACATCTATTATAAAATTTAAAAATCTCGAGTAAATTCATTCATTTCCTCTAACCGTTCATTTTCAGCAATTCCAGAAAATTTTGGGACCCATCGAGTGCCGACTGAAGGAACACCATGAATTCCAATATCTTTCCCATCGAATTCGGCACATTGTTGTTCTCGAATTCCAGGCATATCCCAGGGGCATTCGTGTATAGCGCAAGTCCGATAACGTACTCGTTGACCAGTACAGTATTTACCACCATGTTCTGGCCGAGGAGAGTCACAATCCCTATATGACTTTTGGATTCCTATAGAATTTTTGAATACTATTGTAATGATTCAAAAAGTATTATTCCACCTCCCCCACATGTTCGAGAGCAATCACCCCACGACCTCCATTCTCCCCATGAACCATCAACAGGTAGTCTCTGTGTAGGGGACATACCAACACACTGACCCATATAACACCACATTTGTCGAGCACATTCTGTTCCGTCAGCCCACGGCATATGCTGGGTACGACAACCCATTTGATATCCATAAGAGACGGCACACCACAATCTACGACAACTTGGCATATATGGACAGAGTTCAGCTGCAGCTCCAAAGACGAATTTGCATTGTTGAGAGACAGAATAACTTTAAAAAATAAAAAAAATTTTTTTCTTAAATTTAAAAATTTTATTACATTTCACCGGGTGCTGGATTTTCAAACATTCTTTCATAATATCGTCTCTCAACGGGTTTGTCAAGAATACATTGTGTCTGAGATCGGCGTGCCTCCAAAAAACGGGCAAGCATTGCGGAGGAGCATGCAGACCAGGACCAGGGATTTGTGTTGTATTCAAGTGTTGGTGCCATTATATGGTAGTTAGCTTTGTTTAATGGCATAAACTCTGCACATTTACGTTCATCATCGTGTGGAATATTAAAAATATGACCGAGCTCGTGAGCAATTGTGAATGCGGCTGATAATCCTGAATTGAATTACCCTGAATTAACCCTGAATTTATTTTTTAAACCATTATCTTCAATTATTGCACAGCTTCTTTTGCTATCACACAAAGTTCCAAGCTCGGCAAGACCTAGAGTGTCACATTTATTTGTAGCCCGGCATATGTCATGACGAGTTAAAAGAATTGCAACATCTTTAAACATTTAATTAAGCTCACTATAATTTTCAATAAATCTTTAGTCTACCATGATGATTCAAAGAATCGTCATTTCTGTCATTATATAGCTGCTGCCAATGACAAAATTGTTGAAGTGTTTCTTGTGCCCGATTAGATATTAAGGGTCCAGCACGTTCATTTTTTATTATGATGATGCGAACGACAACCATGTTAATAGAAACACCCAAGGATTGATGTCTATAGATTGCTGAAACTGTTGAAAATAAAGTTAGAACATAATTCTCCAAATTTTGTTGATGATATAAAAGCATTTGGTGATCAGCTACAACAAGCACTTCAACATAATGATCCCAAGAATTGGCTAAAGTAGCGGGAGATCGACGATCACGTTTCACTGGCAGAAATGGAAATTTGGGAGAATCTGGAAAAGAGGGCTTGATTTTTAATTATTAAATTGGATAATAATCTAAATACCTAATCTCTTTTTTCTTATCCTCATTAATATGTACAATATATAATATTTAAATTTAAAATATTTGTAACTCGTAAACAAATTTCTCTTTTTCTTTTCCTTCTCTTCTTATCTATGTTAATTGCAACCCATCGAATATTATATTTGAGAAATACCTCTATTTATATAAGGAAAAGAATCCGAGAAAAATTTGTGAATCAACTGGCCGCCGTTTCCTGCTAGGAGCGGAGGAGCAATCTTGGTCGCTACTTGATTGCAATTCCTGGGCAAGGCTCGTTACGCCTTTCGGGGTGTATCTTTCATTGTGGAAGATGGATTGAGGCTTATGCTTCTCAAGGCGAGCTATCTAATCTTCGGATTAACCTTAAGGAACCCCAGTGGTTCCTTAATGCCCTCCCTAGCAGTGGTAAGGATTCGGATGGAGGGCTAAGTCAAATGATTCGTTAATTTTTTTCATTAAATAAAATTCACCATGATGACTTGTGTTGGCATTAATAGTTTGAGAATATTTTGAAAATCCTGCTGTAAATTCCTCAGATGATGTTAAGACTGTAACTATAAGAAAAGAATATAAAATTATAAAATATTCCCACTTTCAGTAGATTTTTGCTGTCTCCGCTCATTATTATGATCATCTCCAAAATATTGTGTCTGCACTGGATAAATTAGATGTGCTCTCAATAATACTTGATCTCGATTGTCGTGAGGTCTATGGCGACGTTTTCTCCTTTGATGGTGAGGATGTCCTCCACCTAAACTTTCATCAAAATAATTATTTGGATTATCTCCTTGAGCTTTTTCAAAGTCCTCTTCATCAATTAAAGGTTCAATTAAGAAAGCACCTTCACTGAAAGCTAATGTACCGAACTATAAATTTGAAAATAAATTGAAAAATAATCGTTCCCAACTAACCAATCCATTATTTCGATCACATAAATTTACAATACTGCTTTCAAAACAATTGCCATCATCTATTTTGGCAACGTAAAAACAGGCTGGTGAAATATGTGATCGACTAATTTGTGTGTGGTTATCAGAATCCATCGATTGAACTAATAGGAAAGGAGATAAAGGATTCCAATTTTGATTATCCGATGCAGTACTAAAATATTTTATTTATTAGTTAATTTTAGTTGGAATTTTAGTTTAGTTTAATTTTGTTTAGTTTCTTTAGGAAAGCTAAATCTGGGCTATAACTTCATTCAGCTACTGCAAAAGCGGCTGGAACAGAACAGGCATCTGACCGAACTAACCAACCCGTCTCCTGCTTAGCTTTAGAAATTAAATAGCTATTACATAGAGCTCGGACAGATGGCAAAATCAAATACTAGATCAAATAATTTGAAAATTATTTGATATTTGAAAAATTTGATTTTTACCAAAAATCATCAAATAAATATCTGATTAAATAAACCCAAATAAAATTTGATCAAATATTTGTTTTTCCTCGTCAAATATTTGTTTGGTCTGGAGTACGTCGAGTACAGAGCAATTGGGAAAAAACGAGTAAGAATATGTAGGTAATGCTGAGTATTAGGATCCCGAGTCCCGAGCTCGAGTAAAGGCAAAAAACCCGAGCGAACGAGTCGAGTAAAGCGAGTTCGAGTTTACTCGAACTTGCTCGACTTGGACGTACTCTAGTTTGGTTCGATCTCTATTAGCTATCTGCTTTACTCTATTTATTATGTATTTTTTCCTATCTTAATTCTGATTTAATTTTAATTACAATTTCACCTTCTCCTTTCTCTTTTTCCAATCCCCTCTTTCTCATTCTGTTCAACTCTTTTTAATGAAATACGCAATACTTGAGTTGAAATTCTACTTTCACCGCTATTATTATCATCAATTCCATGTTTTAAATTAACAGTACAATTAAATCCACAAAGGCGGGCAAGTCCAAAAACAGATTTTGAATTAATTTCGTCCTCTTCTCTAATACTTCTTTTATGTTTCCGCTCTAATTCAAAATTATTTAATAGCCATATTTGGGTTTCTTTGGGTCGAATATCTGGAAATTTGTAAATTTTTAATTTAAATTATTATTTTTTATTCATATCCCCCAAAATATTATTAAGTATTTCTCATCATTTTTTCTGTTCTTTGCTTTAATTTCAAACAAAAAACTATTTATACAATTCTCATCATTTTTTGTTTACTTTTCGTATTTTGGCTAACTTCCCAATTCTTTAGTGCTAGTTAACGCAATTTTAAAATGAAAACACAAAAAATACATTTAGTCTCTTTTTTTTAATATTTTTTAAAAAATACACAAAAACAGTTCAAGGATCACCTACAAGAATGTAAATATCCAAAAAATATTTTAAATTTATTTTTAAAAAATTTAAAAGCACCAGAATATGCCGATCTAAGTCGTTTAATTTCCTTTTTTAATAAATTTTCTTTATTATTTTTTTCGTTGTTTCCATTTTTTGAGAATATTGAAGAAAAATTAGCAATAACAAAAATAATAATTGAAAGTAAAAATAAAGCAGAGATCAAGAGGGCCAAAAATTGGAATAATTTTACTCCTTTGACATTAAGGGAGGGAAGAAATGAAAACTAGAAAAAAATTATTTTAAAATTTAGAACACAAAAATTAATTAAAATCGACTCTCGATATACCGTATAACCTGTATTAATTGCCCTCCCTCACATCCAGCGGTAGATTGAAACAATAATTACCCCCAAACAAATGCCCTAAAACACGTTCAAATTTCAAACCTCGTATAATTATCCTTCCTCGATTAATTATTCCCTTTAACGGAAGGTCGAATAAATAATTACCCAGAGTAGCTATTAAAGGATATACGGTATGTATTGTCCCTCCGGTCCCTGTCAAGATTACTCTTCTTAACTGACCCATTATTTTCCTTCAGAGATTCGACAATAATTTAAAAAATTAAGAAAATAAACCCACAAAATTAAATTCTTTTCTCCTTTTTCTCCACCATCCCTTCGAGGCGGTGTCGTTTTTTGAAATTTTTTGATGTCGATTTAATGAATAGATTTTCCTTTGCTGCCGTGTGTTTGTTTCATGTTCATTATCAATCAAAGGAGAAGTGCTTGCCGTAAAAGAAGGCTCGGGATTAAGTGAGGATTGATGAAAGGAATTTGTTTGTGTAGATGGGCCATAGGTTCTCCAACCTTTAAAATTTTAGAAAAAAAATTTTTTTGATAATTTAATAAAAAGAATGCAGAATATTGGTGGATTTTTGAGTATGTAGCAGGGATTTAGCCGATATAAAAATTCAATCCCCGATTTTCAGGAATCGGGATTCCCGACTCAAACAATGTCGGGAATTCCCGATTTTAGGGAATCGGGTCGGCTAGATCTCTGGTATGTAGTAAATAATTTTAAAAATTAAAAAATTTCAAAATTATTTTTTATTCCAACTTTGGAAAAATAATTTCTAATTTTATTCAATTTAAATTTTAATTTAGTGAATCCCAAAAAACCTTTCGGCCAATAAAGCGGCAATGAATGATACAAAGAATTTCGATTATTTATTGGCAGTGGTGAATTGGATGATTCTAATACTTCCAATGTTTGGGATGTACTTGCTTCTGATAGGGGCAAACAATTTTGTTTTGATAATGGAGCAAATTCTTGCTCGCTTGTTTGCTCCTTCATCAACTTAAAAAAAATTTTTTTTGAAAAATTTTTTAAATTTAAATTTTTAATTAAAACAAATTAAATTTAAAGTAAAGAACTAAAATTTATTTGTTTATTAAAATTAAATAAATTTGAAAATAAGCTAAATATAATTTTTGGAATAATTTAAAAAATAATTCAAATAAATGACCATATAAATTTTAATAAATAAAAATTATAAAGAGTTAAAAAAATTAATGGAACTCTCTAAAATTTATTTATACATATAAAAAATAATTGGTCTTTATCAAAAAATTATTTTTTTAAGTTATTAATTTTTAAATTTAATTTTAGTGCCAGTCTGTGTTATAATTGTCTCGCAAATATATTTTTTTAGTATAATTTAATCAGTAATATTTTATAAAAAAATATTTTTTGATCTCTATGTTATCGAAAAAATAATTAGAATTAAATTTATTTGTGTAAAAAACTCCTAAAAATAAAACTACAAATTGTAGACTTAAAAAACTAAACTAATAATTATCAGTTCATTAATTTGGAAATAATTTTTTGGTTGATTTGTTATTTCTTTATTTAAAATTAATTTTTAATATTATTTAAATAATATTTTTAATTAAGAGAAGCATGTTAGAAAAATATACATATTAATTTAAATTTTAAAAATGAAATTATTTTTTTTGATAAAAAATAAAAATTAAAATAAATTATAAAATATTTAATTAAAATTACAAGTAATTTTTAAATCAAAAAAAGTTTATTTTTGGTTTAAAGAAAAAGATTAAGTAAACATAAATAGTGGGCGGGGCAATATAAGTAAATAAATAGAACCTAGAAAAACATTAGGACAATAAAAAAATCTTTTAAAAAATTAAATTAATATTTTGGCATTTATTTTATGCAAAATTTATTAAAATAAAACAAAAAACCGGAAATTAGGGATGAATTGCTAAAATAGAAATTATAAAGATTGATGAGAATAAAATTAAATTAATTAAATGTTAATAGTTGAAGATAAAGGAGGGAGAGAGAAAAGATGAAGAAAAATAAATATAAGTTGAATAAATTTCAAAAAAAATTTTGTAAAAAAAGTTTTCAATCCCGATATAAATAATTGGGTACTCTTGTACTCTTCTGTTATCCCTTCTTTTTACTTTCTACACAAAAGTACACATGGGTCAAAGTGAATGTAATTCATGAGTTCCCAGTTTTGCAATAGGACACAATTCCAACGATGGTGAGTACCAGTACCTATATTTACTTAAAAAATACGTTCACCTTTAACCAGAATATTTTATGGGAATAGAGAGCTCCACACACTCAAAACTTCAATACGGATGTTATAAAAAGCAGACCTGGGTACTTCTAATGCAAATATGTAAAATGGGGGGAGATAACACAAGAGTACCAATAATTGATTTATTATAGAATATTATTAGATTTAATAAATTTAATTTTAAATTTAAAAATTTAAAAGTTTACCTAAATTTTATTTGTCCTTTTAATTATTTTAGAAGCATTTTAAATTTATAATTTTTAAAATAAGGACAGGTTTACAATTTTGTTGCGTAAATTAATTGATGAATATTTGTTGAAAAAATAACGGGAAAGAAGAGGAAGAAGATGACTTTTGATGTTTTTTGAAGTTTTTAATTTTGTTTTTAAGGCACACCCACACGTACGGTGAAGATTAAAAAATAATTAAAAAATAAATGTGGCAGGAATTTTTAATAAAATTTTGTGTTTAATTATTTGATGGCAGTGGCAGAATAGAAAAATAAATTAAAAAATAATCTAAAAATTAATATTTTTTCGAAGAAGAGTTTTGTCATTTATCCAGTTTAATGGTAGGTATCAGGATGGACATCTCGGATGGGGACATCTCGGGACTGCTGTGAAAGAAATAATCTCCTGAGTTTAAAACAAAAACGTTTCCTTCAATGCAATGTACCACGACCCAGTGGACACAGGTCCCGAAATCAGTAGGGGATTGAAATAAATTACATTGAAATATCCCGAAATGTCTGACCCCCGTTGTGTTATCAAAAATATATGTGTAGAAAATAAATTTAGAAAAATACACGAAAATGTGTAAAATGTGGAAAGTATGAAAAACAATTAAAAAATTCGGCCCAAGCTAAAATCATTACATAAATATCTTATAGAATTTCTCAAAAATATGGGGAGAGTGATTATACCGTATTTCTTCAAATAGAGCCCCACCCTCTATTACAGCCCCACCTTGGAGGATAGTTGAAAAATAGAGCCCCATGGGGCTGTATTTGAAGAAATACGGTAAGCTAAATAGAGAATTAATAATTAAATTTAAATAATTAAATATTTAAAAATAAAATTTAAAAGAAAAAGAAAGTTAATTTTAAGTTAAATAAAAATATAGTTTCTGATAAAAAATAATTTTTTACTAAAAATGTTAGAGTTAAAAAATTAAATAGGGATTAAACACAAGATGTAAAATTATGTTAAAAATTATAGGTAAATCATACCACCAATATCCGGTATTGAAATTTAGATTATTTTTTTGTTAAAGGGAAGTTAATTTATTGTTTAAAGATTAATAACTGACCCCCAAGTAATTGGACGTAAAACCGGAATTTTAGTGAAATTTTTTAAATTTTTTAATTAAATTATTTATTTCCTAATTTCAAAATTTATTTTATATTGAATCTCAAAAATTAGAAAAATTATAATTAATTTCCCAACAAATTCCCAACAAATTTATTAAGTAATATGTGCAAAATAAAATAATTTTTGGCTGAACACGTGTACAAAAATTTTGTGAAAAATTGTGTCATACTTTTTTGTTAACAAAAAAGTGGTATTTATTTAAGCGATCAATTTGGCTCTAAAAATTTTTATATTTATGAATGGTGTAAATTTTTGATTTTTATAGAATTTGTGTTTTGGTTTGGGGAATTAATAAATATATTTTCTATATATTAATTTTTATTTTTTTCCTTTAAAAGTTTATTAAAATTAATAATGAAATAATGGTGCAACTTATCAGACTCTTTCATGATTATCCCCGATAGGGGTGAGTATTTCCGAACAGGGGAGATAATTTCGAAAAACATAAAACAACGTTATGCCAAAAATAACACAAAACGCAATGCACCGACCCCTGTCCCCAGCCCGAAACAAATGGAAAATTCCACAACCGACACGCCCTCCAGCGACTATTTTAATGAACAGTGTACTTCAGACCTGCTCATGGATACGGATATGGATACAGATAATATCCAGATGCCTATCCGTCGTAAATATCCGTCGTAAATACCAAAATCAGTATCCGCGAGCAGATCTGGTGTACTTATTAATACAGCCCTTATTTGTTAGGTGGGAAAGATTTTAGGATATGAGAAGTTCTGTCAGTCAAGGATGTATTCATTAAATAAAAATTAATTAGATAAGCTTATAATTATGTATTTTAATAATTAATTGTATAATAAATATTTTTATAATTTTAATAATAATTAAAGAAAAATAATAAAATAATTAACAGAGTAACAAGAAAGTGACAAATATTAAATAAATTATTAATCAAAAATTATTATTTTTTTGGCAATCGTCCTTGGAAATTATGAGTAGATAAATAGGTATATACATTTATATTTGTGAAAAAAAAACCGGCGCCAAAATTTTTGAAGATTTTTTGTTGAATAAATTTTATGAAGAGAAGGGAGATAATGAAAAAAATATGTGAAGAAATTCTGGCTTAATAAAAGGTATTTTGAAAGTAATAAATGTGAGGGAGGGAGGTATTTTTTGAATTAATATGTGTGTGGCTCCGTGCATAATTTAGTAAGTAAATAAATATATTTTTGAGTGTTTTCCCAAAATTAAAAAAAATATTTTGGCCCTTTCTCATGATCAAAAAAAATTGGTCAAATATTTAAATGTTTTTTTATTTTTTGAATTTAATTTAAAAATAAAAGTAAAGGAGATGAAAATAATATTTTATAATTTTTATTAAAATTATTAAAAATTTTGGACATATTAATTTAGGAACATTAAAAATAAATAATTTAGACAATTTCCGATAGTTTGAATATTATTTGTACTGTATTTCCTAGAATAAAGCCCCATGCTAAATTAGAGCCGCACCCTAAAATAGAGCCCCACTTTGGAGGATTGTTGAAAAATAGAGCCCCATGGAGCTTTATTTTAGGAAATACGGAATATTGGATATTTAAAGAGGATATGGAATTAAGTAAATATTTTAAAGCTATAAAAGCATTTTAGAGGAAATAATATTTATTTATTAACAATTTTTAACAAAAAAAATTAAATTTAATTTCTAAAAATGTGTTATTTTTCGAGAAAGTTTATTTTTATAAAAATTTGAAGATGATTCTGCAAAAGAAAAAAGAGGCAATTTTTTTATTAGAATTGATTGTTGCTTTTAGCTCGTACAAACAGACAACTTTATTGCATTATAAGTGGCCGGTCGTGCTTTCCGTGGATTTTTTTGTGTATTGTGACGGGGGAAACAAGAGCAAAGATTGTCCCCATCTTTTAAATTTTATTGAAAAGTGTAAATAAGTAGTGCTAATCTATAAAATTAAAAAAATAGAAATTAAAATGTTCATGAATAGAAAAAGAATTTTTTAAAAAATAGGTAAGGAGAAGAGAAGGAAGGAAGAAAAATTTTAATTTTAAAAGAACAAATTAATAATTTTAATTTTTTTAATAATTAAAGATGATTATTAAAAATAAATTAATATTTACTATGTAGCAGAGGTGGGTCAGAATTCCGATTTCCGCCGTTTTTTTTCCTTCCAATTTCCGATTTTCGAAAAAAATTTTGATTTCCGAGTTCCGATTTCCGACTCTTCCAATTTCCGACACCTCGGACTGTTCCCTATGTAGCAGTCGAGAAAAATACCGTTGGTAGTACGATACCAATTGGAATCTTTAGTTTCGTAAATGGAAGCATTTAATTAATTAAAATAATTTTTATATTAAATAGAGAATTTCAAATAATTTAAAAATGAATCTTTTTAAAA